CTGCGACAAGCCCTCCCAGGACTCTCCTGCCCACAGCACTGGAGGAGTTTTTCCCCAGGAGGCCACGGCCTGGCCCTGGCGCACAGGCCACTGCAGCCCCACGGGCCCAGCTGGGGCTTTGCCTCCCACAGCCCCTCAGCCGCTGCCACAGCAACCGCCCCTCCCTCACAGCACCCTCGCATGGCACTCTTCTCCTTCAGGAAAAGTCACACGCGCTCTTCCCTCCTTCACAGCAGAAGTACAAGGTAAGAGAAGCTTCGCTTTTGAGAGGACCGTTTCCTCGCACAGACACCCAGGTACAGAGCGTCCAGGCAGCACCCTGATGGCCAGGGCAGCTGGTGGAGTTGCTGCTTGTACTTGGTGCCGCAGCAGAGAAGCGCTGTGCCCACACATAGCTCCTGTCAGAGAAAGGGGTGGTCATTTCCCAAATCCCTACAGTTGCCTGACTTCCTGCTCAAAACTCAGATTTGAGATTGCAAAGAGTAAAAGTGTTCAATTTATTCAGGCAAAATCTGTTCTGCCAAGCACCTAAATTGTGATAATTGACACAATGACTTTTCCAGCTGATAACTGAGCAGACCAGTTGGAGAGCATCCAAAGTCATTCTGCAGGAGTGACCAGCTCTAGAAAGCTTGGACTGCAAGGAAAGATGGGAATAAAAATAAGGATTGTTTAGTCTAGAGGAGAGAAAAGTGACAGGAGACAACGGTCTTTACATATATGAAAGACTGCTGCATAGAGGAGGGGAATCTGTTTTCCACGTCTGTTGTGGAAAAGACAGGAAGTTGCAGGCTTAAATAGCTGGGAAGAATATTTGGGTTAGATGTTAGGGAGAGGAATCTAACAGTAGTTCAACACTGAAACACATTCCTCAGGGGGATATTCTGGAATGTCCATCATCTGGAATCTAAGAAAAAGGGTTACACAAACATCTGCTGAAAGGGATGCAGGTATGGTTGGTTCCATACAGGCCTGGGGTAAGTGGCTGCATCACGTTCTTGCTCAAGGCCTTATCTGGCCCTGTTGTTCAGAGACATTTGTTGATTGTGCCCTCATACTTCCTGAGCATGACAGAAATCCAAATATTTTGCTAGCAGAGGTTATTTGTTCTTTTCTCAGATTCTTGGAAGAAAGTAACTCTACTAAGATTACAATAAAAAACAAGACAGTGTGTGGTATTTTTTTTGGTCAGTATTTACAGGTTTCTTTCTTTTCTACGTATCAATTAGTCATCTTCCTTATGAGATCTCTGCTACCAATATCACTTATGTGGTGTTAGTTAAGATGTTAACAAGCACATCAATAACATGACAATATTTATTGTTTCATTGTAAAATAATGCAAATTTCATTCTGCAATTGAGGTGTGTGCAAGGCTGAAATTCCATTCATATCTGTTTTAACGGTCCACTTTCCTGATACAGGCCTCTGCCAGACAGGTTCAGGTTTCCTCTAATCTTGTCCTAACAAATATTATTTTCTCTGCTGTGCTACTGTAGTTGCTTTGACCTTCCTCAGGCTCTGAATTCAACCGATACGCTTATCCACAACTCCTCCCCAACAGTCTTTGGCCTACTTCCAGTTACCACTGTTCAAGTGGTAAGAAAAATGCTGAAATGCAGGCACATTTCATTGCTGGTGAAATTTTAAGTCTCTTTACCAGTGATTATTAAGAGCCAATGGTTAATGCTCTTGGTAAATTATCTGGTGACATTCCATCCTGTAAGAGTCCCAGGTTATTTAAAGGGTGTACATATAAAGGGCACGATACCCTCAAAGTAGCTTGTTCCAAGTCATCGGAGACATTTGCAGTTAGGCAGCCAGATATAAAACATGCAGTACTAAGGCCTCAGTCTAGTCCTCTCAGAAGGCAGCATGTACTGTGTATCATTCCCCCTGGGCTATAAAGTTAACCACTTCTAAGATGTAGTTACCTTAAAGGAAAAAAAAAAAAACAACCAAAAAAAACCCCACAGTCCAAAGGACTGCATACTTGCCAAGCCTAAAGCTTTATAAACAAAACTACAGAGTTATACAAACACAGCAGCAAAAAAAGTTTTAGAACTGGCATTACCCCTCTTCCTCACTGTCCACTCAAGTGGCTGGTTTCATTTATGAAACAGATCCATGAGCCAAAACCCAGCATGAATGAGATAAGCCCAAGAACCTCTAGGCAGCTGAGAACAGAAGCTTAGAGTAAAAACATGTTTCATTCCCAAGCAGAACAGCTACTTAAGTCCTACTGAGCCTGTCAGGGGGCAATATTTGCTCCATGCAAGTGTTGAAAGAAAATGTGATGTGTAAAGTCCTATGACACAAGTTTAGGATAAGATTTAGGGGGCTTATGGACACCCAAATTATTGCAAATCTAATTGATTTAGCAGTATAATGGGACATTAAGTAACTAGCAGCGCTAGCACTGTATATATCCGTAAAAGAAGCTTGCTGGCATTGGACACTTTTTCACGCAACTACCCTTCTTCAAGGGGATTTAATTACACTTATATTGGGTCATTCCTTTGTTCCAGGCTCAGCAAGGCTACATAACAAGATGATTCCAGGCTCAGGACACACAGCTCACAAGACAGTCAAACCTGAAACAACAGGCAGTTCATCCCAGTAGCATGTAAATCAAGACCTCAAAGCCACTAGGATGATTTCTGTGCAGCACCAGCGTGGACTAGGTAAACTACCTTGGACTACCTTCTCGGTGTACTCCCCTCTAGGCAGTGTCTGAGCTAAAAAGCCCCCAAACTCATGTGATCGGCCTCCGTACAGACTCCTTCCCATAACTTTTCGACGCTTTCCAGCGTAGCAGGTTCTCGAGTGTTCATAACCACAGCCATGCCGCCAAACTCTGTCTGGCGGAGTCTGACATAGGCCACTCAACACCCCAAATGCTGGGGTCCCCCATCACAGGGAGGTGCTGAAGCAGCCCAGCAGCAGACACTCACCGCAGCGTCCCCACAGCGCGTTCACAACGGGCA